ATATAGACCTTGTATAGGATATTTGAGTTCCAAGGTGTGAAGGCGTAATGTTGTATCTCCTCAGTGTTTCTAGCAAGGACTGTGGAGATAGATCTAGTGATCTGATCTAGTTGTTCCCCTTTATTGCTAGTTATAGCAATATTAATTGGGTGGTTTGGGGCTAGTGTGTATTACGAAGTAATTGCTAGCTTCTGCTAGTGGATTCATTCGTGTGTGTACGGTGGATGAGCATATGAGTAAAACAAGCGCGCCACTCATGGCTTCCTAGCCATCCAGACTTGCGCCAAATAAGCGTATCGTGTCAAGGCTCTTATGTTAAATCCGTATTCAGCCTCTTTACTTCGAACCTTCATATCTTCAAACGTCAACTCACCACATTCGGGGTTGATATCCTCAAACCCGAATCCCATGTCTTCTACAACGCCAATGATTTCATCCAGGCTAAGTTGCACAAATGGACCAGTACCGTATAACAATGGACCAAAGTTGATCCACTTGCCCCCAGGCTTCAATAGACGCGATATCGTATCGAAATATGCCATGAGATTTCGAGCCGTATCAATGAAAAAATGCGTAACAATGATGTCAAAGTGGCCTTTTTGATGGTTGAAGGCAACGTTAAAGTCGCCTTCGACCAACATCACGTCCTGGTTTGGCACCACATTGGGTGCAGTAACACTTCTGAGCATATCCTCCTTTCTTGCGTGATGCGACATTGCCTCAATGAATGGGTGGAATCTCAGTGTGTTTGCACTAGACTGAGATTCCATGTATCTGTAGCCGACATTCATGAACATGGACCACTCATTGACTGTCGCTTCGAAGCCTTGACGCTGTCAAAATACGTACAAAAACCAATGATGGAAGGCATACTTGCCTCCTAGGTTAGCCACGTCGTGGCCCAGTCGACCCATTCCGGAGCCAGGAAGTAGGACCTTGAGCTTTGTCCCTTCTGGCGACTCGGACTTGATTTTTTCCAGTGTATTCAAAATGCACGGAAACGCCTCGTTTCTTTCCTTGAGACCCTCATCTGCCCAGTCCCGTACATAGTGTTTCAGCGTCTGCGCTGCAGCAAGCCTATCTGCATGTCGGCCGTCTTGTTCAGCTTGGGCCATATGCTCATCAAGCTCTTTCTGGTCGATGCCATAGAATCGCATGGCATGACTGACCATGCTTTTGCATATCGCTGCATTATTGGAAATGAGTTTTTCAATCTCATTCAGCTTCTGGTTATACCCGACCACCTTTTCCAACACCTGGCATGTGATTAACAAAAGTGATGATCAACGTCCAATCCGATGCGCACCTTCCTCTGCGTTTTGCTTGTGTTCTTGTATAGGCTTCGCCACCGGTCAAGTTCAGCCATTTGGCACTCTCCATACCTGGTATATGCCCAAAGTGCCTCCAGAAGTCTATATCGTGGATGGTTGGTCGTCCACTTTCCGCTCTTTCGATCCATTCTCTTCATGAGATGGACTTTTTCTTGTCTATGGCGAGGAGAGGTTTGGGTATTACTGGCCGGCATTGCATGCATCAGCAATGGGTCTTGTGCGGCCTGCATGTCTTCCATGGCAGGTTTTGGGACGCTGGCGGACTCTTGAGCTGGGTTTGTTTGACCTGCACCTTTGGTATTTCCCAACGCAACCGAGAATGCATGGGCTAGAACTAGCAATAAAGGCAAGTGCATTGTGCAGGTTTTTTAAACTGTATGTAACTAGCTAGACGTTGTCTGGGGCGCCTGGTTTGAATTTTGAACTTTTCAGGCGAGTACCGTGTTGTCTGCCAAGAAGCCAATTGTGCTAAGCTTTGCAATGCTGCACATAGTAAGTAGCCGTGTTGCTGTAAAAATCAGAGATCACAGAGGTCTTGGTCTGCCCGGCCGCTGCAGTACTGATGTGAATATGTACATAAATCCTGTATTTGATGGCTGTTCGCCGAAGAGATCGGCCGTGCAGCTCATGGATCCTCGGAGAGACGTTTTTCTTCTGGGTTAGTTTTGTTGTTTTGCATCAGCGAGCATTATGATCACCTTAGAGACCTTGCGTATTTGAGAGATTAGGCGACAACCTAGAGATCCGCATTACTGGACAACATTGACGTAGCTTCACTAGAGCTGTTAGGCATCAAGGCGTCGGTCGTTCATAGTGAGACTGGACCAAAAACTACTCTAAACAGCTAGGTGAGGCCCTTGTTCTAGCTGGCGTGAAGCCGGTCAAGAATTCCAGTCTGAACTGCACAGATGCAGCTATTTGCACCGGTACCCGTGCCGTCATTATGGTCGAAAAAAGCCGTGTAGCTGCTGCAGCGGCAGACCCCCACATTAATCAGACCGTCGAACATCTCGACGCGTACCATAGCTCTGTTATTCTGGAATGACATGATCTTTGGCTGCAATGCCTGCTTTCCAGCGGTATGCGGATGCGACATGTTCTCCCAGTGGTCCCTTTTGTCCTTTCTTCTCATAGAAGTTCTCGCGATACGTCCCGCCTGGCACCGAGTAATCATCCCAAAACATGCCCCGAGCCCTGAGCTCAGGCAAAAGCAGCTCAGCCACGTCCTTGAAAGACTGTGGGAAAAGTGTGTACGCCTAGAGATGATATCAGCACCCATTTGCAGTATCGAGCAAGGGACCCACAATGTTGAATCCATCAACATCCGCCTCATCGACCCATGCCTGGAATCCATCTGCCACTTGCGCGGCTGTGCCAACAAAAATCGGTCCATTGCCCCCTAGGCTTACATGTTCAGCGACGGTGTGCTTCGTCCACTTGGAGGTCCCTGGAGAAAAGCGAGCATATCCCTCCACGGTTGATCGAACCGCGTTGCTCTCAACCTGTCGCAGCTCTTCCTCATCTCCATACTTGCCGAGATCGATACCTGTCCAACCGCAGAACAAGGCAAGCGCACCCTCAAGCGAGGCGTACTTTCGATAGTCTGCCAATTTCGCCTGTGCCTCCTCTTCGGTCTTGCCTAGGATGGGAGTGACGAGCGCAAGCACCTTGATATTCTTCCCATCTCGACCATACTGCGAGCAGGCAAGCTCACGGATCTCTGCAATATTTTTTGCGCAAACCTCTGGAGCATGCGCTGATACAAAAATTGCCTCGGCATGCTGGGCAGCAAATTGCTTACCCGATTTGGAGGCTCCAGCTTGCAGGATCAGCGGCGTGCGCTGTGGGCTTGGCTGGCAGATATGAGGACCAGGAACAGTAAAGTATTTTCCTTGATGATTGATCTGTCGCACCCGTTCAGGATCCGTATACACGGCTCTTTTTCGATCCAGTACGACGGCATCATCTCTCCAAGATGATTCAAACAACTTGTACATGACCTTGACATATTCTTCCGCTCGTGCATAACGCTCCTCATGCTAGAAACTGTCAGTAATGTACTTTGTAACGCATTGGAAGACAAACCGGGAGTTGCTGCGTCATTCCCATGTTTCGCGCCGCCGAGTCGAGGTAACTAGTCACAATCTGTTCTTATTAGTCGTAATACAGCTAGTGAAACAGCATGACGTACGTTCCAACCAAGCCTAGGCACATTCTTTAGCGGCTGACAGGTGTATGCAAGCGGGCTACTACTTACCGTCCGTTCGAGAGATGGTCAACCGTTGATAGTCTTCGGGCTAGATGGTATGGTTGCTCATATGTCGTCGACACCGTTACGCCAAACCCTATGCTCTTCGTAGCAGCAGCCATTGCACTGACAACAGCCAGGGGTTCGTTCACTGGCCATTGGGCGCCAGAGGTGATGGCTGCTTCCAAATTGCCATTATAAACATCGTAGCCGCCTAGAACATCAGCAATGAAGACGCCATGGATTTTTGCATCTTCAAGCAGTTTTGCAAGTTGCACCCAATGGTCCACATTCCCAAATTCGTGAGAACGGTCCTGGGGATGCCGCCACAGCCCAGGCGATTGATGTCCACTGCCTGCATACCAACCCCTCATGTTAGCCCTGTTCAGATGGTGTCGGGGTATGCTCGTGGCTTAGCTGTCCAGGCCAGCTGTGATTGACTTCCGGCCACTTGATCATCTGCTTACACATTTCCACAAAGGCATTGATGATTAACTTTTTGCCGGTTTTCGGGTGCCTATTCCTGTTGCCGTTTCTAGCATGCTCCTCTGCTCTCTTTCGTTTTGCCATCTTTGCGTTGTGTCGGGCTTGGATGAGGTTGAGTCGACTCTTCTCGGACGCTATGCTCCTCGGTTGGAAACTATAGATGATGTGCTTACAACGTCTATATACGCAATCGCTTATCGGTCGAACCGGACGCAATCTTCCGTCCGACAACCCAGCCCCGCTAGCAAATGCCTAAATATCCCTCCGATGTAGGACCAGCGACTCCCGCTACTCCATGGCCCCGCAGTTCAACTAATCATAACCAATTTCGGATTACTCCACTATCACGCCATCGCCCTCCAAAATGCCGAGTAGGCAATGTCTCCAAGGCGTGGAGCTTGCACGTGGATTGCATACTGCGTACGCTTACGTGGATACGTGGATACTTGCGCACCTAAAGTTGGATAAAGTAGTATTCTCGTTCATTTAACGTAGCTCATGCCAGCTTCTTGTGTGAGTCGATTTGTCACTATACATCATGAGAACGAGGAGCTCAATGACGCCGGCTTCGGGCGGTGACCCGTGTGCCAAAAGAAGGAAGATGGACCATCAACATGAGTTTCAGCGAACTTCAGGAAAGTCGTCACTTCCGAAAATTCAAAGAGCACTACTTCTCCATGGCGTTCGACAGCCATATGTGACATCCAGGGACACAAAAGTTCCAGGGGTACACCATGACTATGAGCTTCTTGTAAAGGTCAATGCTGCTGGTCTCAATCCAATTGACTGGAAAGCCCCGTAAGTTCCGTCTCAGCTTGACCACATGCTATCGCTCACAGATACAGTGATTACAACTTCGGAATTCCAACGCTACCCTACATCAGTGGTCGCGAACTGGTCGGGACTGTCATCAAAGCTTCAAAAAGCTCTAATTCGCGCATACATGAAGGTGATATTGTTATAATTCCTTCGACTGATTATCGTGATTTGCGGAAGGCCGCATTTCAGGAATACAGTATCGCATCAGCTTTCAACACCATCCGGCTGCCCACTCACATCTCGATCAACTCTGGAAGCATACTCGGTGTGGCCTTCGTATCTGCGGTATTATCTTTAGGTATTTGCATGGGTGTAAGCTTTGAGGACGTGGAAAATGGGCCGGATCTCCTGAACATTGTCAAAAACATTGATCCTGAGCGATTACCGGTGGACATACGGCAAGAGTGTTTGGACAGTATCGAAAGGAGTGAACGCGCAAAATCAGGTGACTGGCTTGTCATCTGGGGTGGAAGCTCAACATGCGCATACGTGGCCAAGCAACTGGCTAGGCTTGTGGGACTTAAAATCATCTCCGTGGTAGACGGCGCCAAACATGGCCTACGGCTCTCCTCGACTCCGTCAATCCGCCCAGATCTTGTCGTCGATTCACACAACCCTACTCGAGCTGTAGAAATTATCAAAGCAGCCACAAATGATGGTGCCCGCTTCGGTCTCGATACAGTGGGCAAGGAAACCGCCGGTCATCTCCTCACTTCACTCTCTTTCTCGCCATCCTCGGAGCCACTTCTTGCCAAAGATGAGAATGGTAATGCCAAACGCAAAGACTCAAAGCTACTGTCTCCGCCCGCAACACCTCTTGAGATCACTTCTGGGGCGAGGAGATCACATCTCGTTGGTCTGACTGGGCTGCCCAAGACCGGTATTCCCGGGGGCGTAGTACCTCATAACGTACCTATTAAGCTCTACCACGAGATACCAGAGGTGGGAGAGGCACTTAGTGCGTGGTGTGAAAGACTCTTAGTCCAGGGACTACTCGTTCCACCTGAGGTTGTTGGCACCGTGAACGGATTGGAGGGGATCAATGAGGGTCTTGATAGAATGAGGAGAAACGAAATACGGGGTGGGCGACTTGTAGCTATACTACCATAGAGCCTGAGCTATTATACCAATATTCAGTAAAAGTGATGAGCAATGTTTTTTTACGAAGTAGACGAGACTTTCCAACTTCTTCATCTACTAATAATACTCTTTCATTAGCGTCTTACTTTTGCTACTCTGCACTCCGGTGATGAGATCAAAGCATATTACCGAGAATTTTATTTCTGATGACTACTCATGGCTTCATATGACTGTATTCTTGTCTATATGCAACCTCTTCATGTCCAATCAATGGTGATATTCTTACCCTCCTTCCTCCATAGGATTAGCCTCCATTATTCCTGCACCGACTTGTGGTGCGCTGTATCGACATCGACCCTGATCGGTGGCGTCACAATGCCACTATCTGTCTGCTCAATTGCCGCTGCTCGACTTCCACCAAATTCCCTTACCACTAGCCATGCTGGCACGATCGATACAGCCCAAAGGGCAAAATTCCAATATACAGCGCCGACTTGAGCGAATATGGCGATTGAAGTGATGCCATAGCTAACTGCTTGCCATGCCGATTCAGTTCCACGCAACAAAGCTGCATAGCGAATCACTTCGGGTTCGCTGGTCGCCAGGTTACCGATGATGAAATACAAAAACAGGTAGTTGAGCTGAAAGCCGACTGCAAGGAAGACAAAAACTGCAAATGCACGGCCAAACCCATCAGACACCCAATCGTAGGTCGGGTGGGAGCGGCGGAAATCGGTAACGAGGACGGTGGCCCAGATCCACCATGCTCCTTGGAGCACGGCTATCACCCAGAAGGATGTACGGGCCCGAACACGAACTGCAATAATGGTGCGGTCAAGGTATGCACCGAGTAGATTGCCGCAGGTGACAGCAATAATGCCGGAGAGGAATGATCCTAGGGCTCGCGCGCGGACCGAGAACCATACTAGGGTTTTGATTAGCTATCATCGTGGCACTTGAGCGTTGGATCTTACAAGCAAGATAAGTAAAGAATACTGCTTCTGCAAAGACAGCTTGGCCAATCCACAGCACGATGAGTAGGAATCGTTTGGTGAAAAACAATCTGGTGGTTTCCTTAATCTCGAACCAAGGGTTGTCCAGGATGGCCAGTTGAACCTTCTTCCCATCCTTTCTTTCCACCTTGTCTGGTGTATTTAGGAACCACGCGACAACGGGTCCAACACATTGCAATGCAATGAAAACGAGATAGACGGTATAAGTTACCGACCCAGCTTTATCGCGATGAGCATTTAGTCCCAGATTGATTGCTCCGCCGAGGATTTGACCTCCGAGACGGTATGTCAGCCAGTATCCTAGTGCTTTCCCCTTGTTCCACGGCTCAGGATATGCAATCGCAATAGCAGCTTCCGCCATCCAGAAAACACCTGCGGATATGCCGCAGAGCGAGGAGCCGAGGTAGATGAACCACTCGGTACCGAATCTGTTGTTAGTGTAAAGCGCTGCAGCGTAGGGTGCATAGCCGATACTGTCACCAATCAGCATTTCAAATCATGCTATGTGAGGCACAGTATGGCTTTACGTACGTTCCAAAAATGAGCGCACCCTTGATACCAATATACCTCACTATCACGCTGCTAAAATAGCAACTGAGTACCATTAAGCAGAATGTGAGAGCGTTTCCAGCGTTTACAAGATGGGGCGATTGTGCACCTCCTGCACCCAGCGAATTCATTGCTCCCCATATCCCGGGGGCACTGAAGTTGCAGAGGCCCAGAATGGTGATGTTGAAGAAGGTCGAGTGGTACCATCTTACTTTTTCATGTCAGTCCTCCCTTCGCTATCACGATGAAGCATATCGAAAGACATCATACCTGGATAATCGCGTTTCTCGCCACTGTTACGATCAGACTCCATTGAGGCATCTTGGTCCGCCATGATGTTTTTGTTTGCGATTTTGAGAGTGTAGGCGTCCGGCTAACCTCTGGAATGAAGCTGCTTTTTCCATCACCCCAAGTCAGCAACCAACACTGTTCTTATGTTGCATTAGAGTTTTTTTTTGCATTACCAGCACATGACTCGACAGGAGAAACAACATCCAGGGGGTTAGATTCTTGAACATGGCACCCAATAGCCAAGTACCGAACCCTCCCATGCGTCAGACCAAAATGCCATGCTTCGAGCTCAACAGACCGATGCTCGGAATCACACCATTTAGTCTCCAATTGAGCAATCTTACTCCATACGACCCTAGTCTGTGCCAAAACTTACTCACCATCTTGCCTCGGCTGTGCCTCGGCATATTGTCGCAGTTCATATTTTGATGTTTCGATGCGGGGGATTTGATAGGGTAGCACGTCATTCTCCTGGCAACTGACGACGATGAATGCTTCACTCAGACCTGCGGACATGGTTAGACGCGCGGAATAAGGCCGATGGGGTAGGCCATGTGGAGACGGGAGGGCGGGTTGATTTGACGATATAGATAAGCAAATGTCGTGACAAGTGCGGGGTTGGAGAGGTGCGGATGCGACGCCTCGAGAAGATTAGGTTGCGCAGTACTAAGGTACTGACCTGTCGGTATTTGAGACTTCGCACAGTTTGACTTACTCGCTCGAGTCCGGGTTTATCATGCTGCTGGAGGGAGCGAAGTATGAACGAAATGCTGTCATGCGTATTTAGCAAGAGCCCAGAGAGTATCCTTGGAACACTTTGTTCTGAGAAGTTCCCTTTGCGTAGCTATTATATACGTATGCCAAGATTGTTTGTTGGAGGATTCTACGTATCGGTGTTGATCGCCATGCTAATACGCCACAAAATATGCGCAGACGAACCAAGGCTGCGAACCATATTATTATTGTTCCATTAGAGTCTAGTGAGCTCGAGGCTATGTAAGACTTTGGCCGAGGCCGTTCTAACTAGATTTATTTACAAATACGAGTTTGT